TGCTGCTCATTTAACCAGAGCTGTTTGCACCGAAGCAACTGCAGCGACCACGAGTTGTGGTTCTAGAGCTCTGCCCTCTTCAAACTGGATGCTTACATGTACATTAAGAAGGCAACTGGAAAAATAACCCATCCAAAGGCTAAGCATCCCAACAATGCTCTTCCTAAGGCACCCCTTAGCACATAACCACCCCAAAAACCAAACCACAGAGCACACTCGAGCAAGACAGCAGCCTCAGCAACACTGAGCTCTCACAGGCACATCATCGCTCACAGCCCCACAACACACAGCTCAGGTCCAGCTCCCCCCTTTGCCAGGCAGCATCCAGACCCCTCGAGCACAGAACACAACATCTCAGCTTGTGCGGCAGAGCCCCAGCTCCCGCATCCATCCTGCCAGCTCCTAAGCTGGGACACACCAAGGTCTCCCTGTGGTCCAGACACGCTGCAGCTCCCATCCCAACTTCCAGGCTCAGGCAGGCAAAGAGTAAACCAAAAAGGAGCGTTACTATTGCTTAGGGTGAGTGTTGAGCACCATCACTTGAGGGCATCCTTCTCCTGGAGGAGAAACACCCCCCTTCACAGCAAAGAGCCTCCTTGAGGCATCAGCGGCAAGAAGAGGTTTGTAGCAGATCCACCTTGAGGAGGATGCTGGAGCGGGACAAGGCTGCAACCCAAAGGGTCTCCTGGATTACCTTTGTCTTCTGCAACCACGCTTCAGTGACATACATCATTAAACACAAGTTTAACGTCAAAAATCTCTTTATTGGCAAGTCCACCACAGTCATTCCCACGTTATTACAGAAACAAGCTCCCACAATGTCCTTCCCTGGACCACTGCTCGGTGTTGGCTTTGTGGGCTTTTTATTTCCCTTTCCATGGTAGACAAACCTTAGTATCTGGAGAAGTTTCTTTCTTCCCATCCCTTCAAGCTGCGGAGTCACCAGCGAGCCATGACAATGACTACAGCCTCCGGTGTGGGAAGTGAGGACTGACAAGAGCAACGCTGTCAGCGATGAAGGTCCTGCGGTTTACAGATGGATACCGTGCAATTTTTCTCCTACCAAACTAATCAAAATTGCATCGTGATCCACCCGACAACAGCAAAACAGAGCTCAGCAAAGTGCTGGCCGGGTTGGGGCAGCGCAGCCTGAAGACAAGTCCTCCTTTCCTCCACAGGCCGGGACAAGTGCAATACTCTACATATAGCTACAAGTAATGCAACAAATCCCCACCCATGGAGAAACCAGCGCAAGGCACCTTCACATCTTCCACGGGACACAAAAAGGAGGGGAGGAAGGGAAGCTTCAAACCCCATCATCCACCACAGATTCACCACCACCACAGTCAGTTTTGCATGGATTTGCACAGCAATCTGAGCAAGCTGGGATGCAAACCTGCAAAACTGACTGTAATCAGCACCATCTTCTCCAGAGCCTGCCCCTAGCTAAGGATGCGCTTTATCTAGCAGTACTGTAAGTGCCCACATTACAGTAGGTCCGATTCCAAGCTACCTGCACTATGAGCACTTTGATACTGCTAGGACAAAACTACTTCCTGTAGTAGTACAGGAGTAGTGCAATGCCTTCAATACCAACACCACTTGAACTAGAACTTGCTGGGCTAGAGCCGGATGGATGCATTGGGGGTGTTTTGGATGCGCAGGCAGCAGCTTGTGCCAGAAGGAGCATTTAGGGCAGTAGATTCTACGCTACTTCACTAACTGCACTAGATGCACCTTAACACAAGAACCGTTCGCAATGCACCTCTAAGGTGGCCAAACAACAATCCTGGTTAGGTCCATGCCCCGCCACCGTCACCGCATCGCCACAGTAATGCCAGAAGTGCTTATACTGCAGTAGATCCTGAACTCTACCTGCACTGTAAGCACTTTTGCACAACTCAAGGCCCATCATCACCAGAGAGAAACTCTTCTTTAAAAGCTCTTCTTGTCTCAGCACAGCCACAGCATCACACAAGTGCCTTGACTGAAGCTTGGGAGCCCGTGGTACCTGCCAAGAGAGAAGACCAACGTTAATGATGGACTAATGTTAATGGTGCAGCACACAGATATGGATTTGCTACTCGATGTAGCAGAGATGTTCTTATTGAAGTATAAGGGGAGAAATGGGTTCAGAGTTTGGAGGAGGCCGCGAGCACACCAGGCAAGGAAGCCTTTGCAAACTGGAACCAAGGTGGAAATGGCTTCTCCAGCTCCCAACGGCAGTGACAAAGCACTGCGGCAGGCACCAAAACATCCCGTCCTGCTGCTGCCCTGCGCTCAGTGCCTCCATACAGCACGTGAGCCCTTTGACTTGACCCTTCTGCCGGAGCTTCACCCCGTACCTTGCATCCCCCAAGCAGCACGGTTCTGACACACGATCCCGCACCCCCCGCACCACATAACGCGGTGTCTGTCCTCCAGATGATGCCGCTGGAGCTGCGGCGCGGCACAAAAGCAACAGCGGGAAGGGGAACCGCGCACGTCCATACACACACGTTTAAACTTCCCTCCGCGCCACGCCGGCAGCGCCCGGCGCTACGAACCTCCCGAGGTGGCACCGAGCTTTCCCCCCCTCCTCGCCCCTTGCCGCCGGCCCCAAGGCCGCTTCCAGCAGCGGAGCCGGTCCCGGTGCGGACCCATCCGCTCGGTGGGGGGGGGGGGAGGCGGGCACCGGGAGCGCTCGGCCGCGCTCGCCACGTGCACAGCGGTACCAGCGGCACCCCCCGAGCACACACACACAGAGCGGGGGGTTGCTGGGGGGGGGGGGGGTGCACCCGGAGCATCCCCCGGGCAGGGACCCGGCCACGCCGCACCCCGGAGCCGGGCAGGGGGTGTGGGGCGCCCCGCCACGTGCTGCCCGCCCCGTCCGGGGGGCCGCGCGGCGGCGATTAAAGCGCAGGAACAAAGCACGGTGGGAAATGCAGTTCCCCATTCAAAGACCCAAAAACGCGCCAAGCCGCGCGACCGCCCGCTTCCCACCGCCCCCACTCCCACCACGCTCCCACCCCCCACCCCCCCCTCCGCACCCCGCTACCGGCACGGCCTCCCCCCGGTAACAGCAGCGCCCGCCGCGGGTGCCCCGAGCCCGGCGCTCAGCAGCGCCGAGGGCGGCTCCGCACGGCCGCGGGCGGCCCCTTTGTCCCGGCCCGACGGGGCAGCCCGGCTGCCTCCAACCGCCTCCCGCCGCCGCTCCCCCGCCTGCTCTTGCCTGCGGCCGGGCGGGAACGCGTCGGGACGCGTCCGAACGCTGCGGAACGCGGTGCCCCGACGGCGGCTCCGCCGAGCGCGTGGCGCGGCTCCCGCCCGCGAAACGGAGCCGGGAGGAGGGGGGGGGGGGGGGGAAGAGCAGGAGGAGCGCGCGCGCACCCGCCGCCTCCCGGCCGGACCCGCACTACAACCCCCAGCGCGCCCCGCGCGTCGCACATGCGCCGTGCACCGCACCACACCCCCCCCCCCCGCACCGCACCGCACCCCCCGCCGCCATGTGCTCGCCGCGCGCGGGTCCGTCCGGTCCCCGTCCCCCCCCCCCCCCTCCCCGCACCGGCCACGCGACCCAACACCCCCCCCCCCCCAACACACGCATGGTGCGGGAGGGGTGTAACGGGGGGGGGGAACACGACACGGGGTACACAACACGCGGGGTCCCCCCCCGCACCACAGCCCCACGGTTTGGCCTCCCGCCGCGGCCCCGTCCATTGTTGGTGCCGCGGGACCCACGAAGGGGACGGACACACACACAGACAGCGGCCCCGGGGTGCAGGGTTGGGGGGGGAGCCGCGGGCCCACGCGGAACGCAGGGCGAACCCCGCACACTCCTACAGGTGGGTGCTGCTGCCCGCAGCCCGCGGTGGGACACGGGGGAGCCGGGGCTCGGAGCCCCGGGCGTGCATCCCCCCCCCCCCCCACACACACACACACGGCGCAGGGCTAAGCCGGCGGGGAAAGGAGGGAAAAGCGGTAAAAACAACCCGAAAAGGGGTGCGATAAAGGAAGGGGATCGAACCCTAAAGGCGTGCGGAGGCTTTGAGCACCGCGGCGGCGTTCGGGAAGGGGGAACGGGCAAGAAGCGCGGAGGGAAGGACCGGGACCATAAACGCGTTACCTTTGAGCCCGAGCGCAGCCCTGGAATAAAAAGGGTTTTACGAAAGTGGCGCGAAGACAATATCATGTGATCGCGGCCAGGGCGGCTCCTTCCCGCACCGACCAGCCAAAAACAGAGCGGGGAATAAAGGGGGGAAGAAAGTACATCCGCTCCCCACGCCATTAGCATAATTAATTGTGTCCTGCAGCTGCCGCCGCCGCTCCCCGGCCAATGGCAGCCACCGCCGGCCGGCCCCCGGCTTCCTCCCGCCCGGGGAGGATGGCGATGGCCGAAGACCTCGGGGCTGGGGCGGGGGGACACGGACGGAGCCGCCCGCAGGACGGCGGGGTTCGGGGTGTGGGGGGAGCGCTCATGGGGGTGCTGCGGGGGCTCCCCCCCCGTGGGGCCGCAGCAGCCATGCGGCCCGTGCGTGGCCGCGGTCACTCGGGACCCCCAAGCTCGGCGCTTGGGGGCGGCTCGCGCTCAGTTTTGGGGTGAAAAGTCCCCAAATGGTGTGTGAGCGCTGCTGGCTTGGCCTGTGCGGCGGCAGGCCTTGCCCACGGGGCCAGCGGAGCCCGCACTCCGTGGCCTTCCAACGCCTGAGCACCCCGAGGGCTTTGGATACCCCTTGTGATCACCCCCACGGGTCTTAAGACACCCCCCGAGGGGTTGCAGCACGGAGCGGGCTGCACTGGGGACCCCCGGTCCCGACACTCCGGGCGGCCCTTGCAGGAATGCCAAAAATGTGCTAATTGTGCCCCGGGAGCAGGCGCCTTCCGCAGGGATTAGCAGGCATCATCGTTAAAACTAATACCAGCGATCACCAAAGCGATCGATAACGAAGTTTTGCCGCACTTTCCTCCAGTTCACTCTCTTCAGTTCGTGGAAAAAAAAACCACCACTGTGAGGTGCCTCGTTTAACCCTAATCATCGGTATCTGGAGTTAGAACAAAAAGGTCCCCATGGAAACCGGGCAGTAATCTATCAGTATTGCGTTCGTTACACAACGAGAAAAGGGCTTTTGTCCCGCCTGTATTTACTACTGTTTAATTTCTTCTTTCACACTCCCCAGCCAAGTTCTGTCAGGTTTGAAGGGCGAGTTGTGCCGAGCTCCCCGACTTTCCTCCCCGCGCGTTGTGTGTGTGTGAGGCCTAAAACAAAGCGCTCCCGGAGCAGGACGGGAGGGCTCTCCGCGGGCAGACCCATGTCCGAGCCTGGCTTAGGATTTGTTCCAGAAGCTCCAATTTGTTTCTTCATTATCAGTGGGAATGCGCGGCCGGGTTGTGCTCCGCAAACTTCATGTTGTAACGCCTGGCGTAGATACGGGATTTACTGACTCCTGGTTGGGAGCTGCGCAGAGGGTTTCTGTAATGGAGGATGCAGGGACAGTCAGAATTGGGGTTTTCTCCTGGTGCCTTTCTGAGGTGCCTGAAAGAGAGGAAAACGCTCAACGTGAATCCAGCAATTTAGTGCGAATGCTAAAAGAGAGCAAAATGGTCAAGGTTTAAATGAATAACTTAGCATGGGTGTGTAAGTTCGTTATCAATCCCCCTGCAGAAACGGTATAGGGAATTGACACAGGAATGAGAAATACAAAAGCATCTTGGTAACTCATACACGCACAACAGGATAGAAAACATCCCGAAGTAAAAGATAACTTCATGGCTAACTGTGAAACAAAACTTGTTAGAACTTGTAGCAAATGAGCACTAAATGTGACACAAGTTCTAGAAAACTGTCTTCTTTGTATGAGAGAAGAATCCTTTTGTATTACGTTGTTATTATTTAACATAAAAAGTTCTATACTGAGTGTTACTCAAATCTTACAGGCGAATAAAGTGAGCGGAGGAGCTTTTCCTCAACACATGCTGCAAACGGATCCCCTCTTCTCTGTCAGTGCAGAAATAAATGAGTCTTTCAACAAAGAGAGCTGAAGATGGTGAAATAAGTCCACATGAAGCGTGGCACAGATAAGATTAAATGGTATTTTTACATCCTCCTGCTGACCTTTGACTTGTATTTTTGTGCATCTCGGGAGTTCGGGGGGGGGGGGGGTGTCTGCAAATACATCAGCTGCTCAGAAAAGGAGTGCTCGAAGGAAGAAGCACCGGGGCCTTTCTTCATCCCTGCCAGGGCACTGCAGAGCTCAGGCGTTCCTCCCGCGGGAGCTCTGCGTGTGGGGATGGCCTGGTCGCACACACGTGATTTATGGGTTGTAAGGTGGTGCTTGTAAAGCACGGTACTCGCTGTGGGGAGGTTTGGTTGCAGGTTAGGAGCATCGGTAGTTAGACTAAAGGGAGGTGTGATCCCCACACAGAGATACACCCCAGAAAGTGTGCTTTCCTGAGGATCACTTTCCGAATTTGTTGTGAAATTAAAAAGCTCTTTTCTTGTGCCAGAAACGCAGAAATTGGGTATTTTTTATCTGTACTGGGATTATGTGCATGCGAATACGGCAAGGAGGTATTTCTGTTTCCTTCATTGCACGTTTCAGTGCTGCAGATAATTCTGTTCTGTCTCTTCTTGGTTACTGATTCATTCATAAGCCAACAGCTATGTCCAAGGATTGCCCTGGACTGTCTCTTCCACTCCTGTTTCCCTCAGGAATCAGACCTATTGTCTGACCTTTTCCACCACAGTGAATTGTGCTGGACTATCCGGATGCATAAAAGGAATTAAAATCAGGAACAAGTATGAGGGGTTTACCTTTGTGACACAGAGAATTACTCCTTCAGATCAAACTATCCCAAGCTGCGCATCGGTTGCTTCATGGGGAGGTTTCTGTCAGATCTGACTTGTTTCTCAAAACTCTGGGAAGAGTTGGAAGTCTTAAGGAGGTCTTCTGCTAAGCGTGCAGAACAGCAGCATGAAATCAGCGTCCAAAGCCCTGTTTTACAGCCAGGTCTGGAGCCTTTCACACCCCATGTTTTGTACTTCTGGAAGTAAACGTTCGGAGAGATCAGGTCACCTTAAAAAGAAACACAAAATGCAAAGGAATATTTAAGAGGAAATGCTGTCATCGTTAGCTGCAGTTGTTCTGGTCCTGCAGAGGCTGATCACTTCTCCTGTGAATGCTCACAGTCACTGCTTGGGTAGATCTTTGGGGCTCCTTAAAGGTGTGTCTCCTTTTGCCTCCTGCACGCTTTGGGGTTTCCATCTAACTGTGGGTTATCTGTCATCTGCTGCTGAGCTGCCTTTGTTTTAAAGCATTCAGCTGAAGAACATGTACAGGGGAAATGATTTCCTCTTATGACAGAATAAAAAGAAATATTCTTAAGATTACAATGTGATTTTTCCCTTAATGTCAATGAAAGATTTAAGTTTTCTGAATAATTGCTATGTATTCATAATTCCCTATGAAAAATGACAGATAATAGAGGGTTTGTTACAAAAGACTTCACATTTTTGACACTGTGTTAGTAAAACATTTGAAACTGCCTTTCACCTTGTAATTTCTATTTAATTTACTCATGAAACTATTGAATATAGAAATACATGATATGAATAAGCTGTTACCTTTCATTTTGTTCTGCAAAACATGCCTATAAACACACCAAATCCTCTCTGAAATAAGACCAATTCACATCGAAAATGAGCAACGAATGTATGCTAAGGGCATGGACTTCATGGCTAATTTTAATAGTTTTATCACAGTATCGATTGCTGTGATAAATAATGTAACGTGCTGTATCCCTGATGTGCTGTATATCTATAACTATACACTAATAGCACTAGTATAACTATAATACCTCATAACTAATAACACTAATATCTCAAACCTGTCTTTTAAAGACAATTTATTATAAACATTTTTATTAAAACAAAATGCCAAGAACAGAAGCTCTTTCTCATAGTTCGTTCAGTTTGGAGCTGTGTAAATGTGCTAACCTTGGCTTTTAGCTTCCCAATCCTTTTCATTTCTTTTGGATTTATGTTGTTTTCTAGTGTACTGAAATGAAATTTCTCTGCAGCTCCTTTATGCAGTTTCTAGAGGGTTTGATCTTGCAAGTTGCTTCTACATCCATTCACATCATGGGAAGTTAAATGAACTCATCCGTTCACAGTCCTGATTCCTTTTATTGCTTTCCATTTTGGGGTGAGTTAAATCCTGAACTTTGGATGTAAGCTGTCTAATTGAAAAGGCAGCTACTTGCCTCCTATATGACCATGTTGTGTTCACAGGATAGGGCCCTATATGATGCTGAACTCCTGTAGTGGAGACATTTCCCATATAAACATGTATTTTCCCTTTCAGATTCTCTATAGACAAGCTGTCTTGTTAGACACGTCTTCATGCACACTACAAATCCCTCTGCCATTTCACTGCGACCATAGATTGTACCTGTCCCAAATTCCTTCCTTAAAGTCTCCCTGCTTTGCTATTTGCCTTTCTCATCAGGTTTTTGTTGTGTTACAACTTCTCTGCTTCAGTCCAAACGTCCACATTCTTCCCACAGACAGGTTTCCCGTTTTGCCAAATATTACTGGCATTTTGATAAGTGTTCTTACCTGTATATATTACATGGCATTTCAACAAATGCATGCACACTAATTACGAAGGACACTTTTCAGTGTTGTAACAGAAAGCAACTTCCCCTTTTGTCACATTGCTGACCAGATTTCCTTTCCCCCCAGCTGGCAATCACAGTATGTTGTGAACTGCCTCAATTTTGTGTAAACCTTCATTTTTGGATAAGCTGCATATCCAAATATGTGCTTAAGCCCTTAAAGCTGTGTGAGTAGCTTAAATGAGGGTGTATAGGTTTGCAAACTGAAAGCTCTGTCTTGCGGAGCAGCAGTATTTCCCTCGAAACACACTGCAAAGGCAACCTACAGACGTTTTAGGTACATCCTGGGTAATGCGGAGATGAGGGATCCTGCTGATTTGCCAGCCCAGTCCGTATGTGCAAGGGCAGGGAAGCCTTCGATCCCCGTCCTGCACAGAGCTCTGTATGGACACTTCTCCTTTGAGTCAGTGGAACAAACAGGACTTGAGTAAATGTCTTCGCTGCGTAAATTTAAGAATATGCTCAAGTCATTTCTAGATAAGACATCTCCCTCCAAAATACACTTCCCTTACAGCACGTGACATCTGAGAAATGAGTCAATCACTTGCTGTTTGGCCACAGGTGACATGGAAAATTCATCATTTGTTGAGCTCTGTTACTGCAGGATGCATTACAGTATTGCCCACATTGTTCTCTGCAGCCTATAGGTATTATCAGTGTTCTATGTAAGGACCTGATGAGAAGACCCGGAGCCCCAGAGCTCGTCCTCATGTTTCCATTGCAACACATGGTCTGTACGTTCCTCTTTGTCCAAATGTTCCTTCTCAGGTAAAGGAACACTTTTACCTTTCCCCTGTTGACCAATGTTTCCCCTGTTACCAGTTTGTCATACACTCTGCGGGACACTTTGGGCATTGTTTCTGACTGGTGGCCTCTAAAAGGAGGTAGAGGAATGGATAGTTGTGCCTACAACATCATGCACAGCCAAAAATCCAGCTGGTCACCAACGCTGAATTCCTACAGTTGGATGTGGTAGGAAACACCAGGATTCTTCTCTGTTTGCAGGCAGGAGCTCCCAGGTTTGCCTGTTAAATGTACAAAACGTTATGGGGCAGGCTCCATAACCCCACCTGCAACTGGCAGGATGCTCGTCCTTCATCAGGTCACAGCAGCACCCAGAGAATCCCCGAGGCCCTCTTCTCTGCAGCATCAGGTTGTGCTTCAAGAGCGCCGATGATCAGTGTGGCTTCAAGAGCATCAGCTGCACAGAAGCAGATGTCCTAGACAGGAACCAATGTATGCAGCCATTACATTCAAAATCTTGGCTGTTAGGCTGAGCTCCTCGGAGCAGGGCAACGTGAAGTGGTTTTTACATCCATTTGGGGGAGGCATTTCATTATGCAGCTTGTCAAAGTTGCCCTTTGGTGCTTTCCCTCCCAAACAGTTGTGCAGGAGCTGGGCAGCACTAGAAGGTCCAGCTCAGAGCAGCTTTCCCTCTCACAGGAGCATTTCAGGAACTCGGGGAAGAGCTGGGTTTACAGGGCAGTTAAAACACATGGACACCTCAGGCAGACAACACCAGGATGTCTGCTCCAGCCCGCAGAGCAGCTCAGGATTAGAAGGGCATAAAACCAGCTTAAACCTGCTCTATGTACCCAGAGCTATGGCTGGAGGCATAACACAGAATCTCACCCTCATCCCGAAGCAATGCTTTTTTTTTTTCCCAGTGCATGTGTTGGGCATGCTCCAGGTCCCTACTGAGGAGATAAAATACATTAACAGTAGTTTAACACACTTCTGCATACTTTAAAGAACGATGCTGTTATGCCGTGCTCAGAATGTTCTGCTGGAGAAGAATAACGTGACAGGAGGTAAACACACCTCAGCACGAGGGAGAACGTGTAATTTATCTCAGCGCAGTGGGGAAAGCGTGCTTGCTTTGAGTAATAAAGTCCACAGACCCAGTCCAGCCTGGAAGTAAGGCTGAGGATGGATGCGCACGGGAGCTCACAGAAGAGATGCAGAGATGGGGGTTTCGGGGCAAAAATACTTTCTTTTCTAGGAGGGAAACTCGTGCATCCGAGCGCGGTAACTCAATGTCTAACCGAGGTAAGGGGGTGGAATTTCCCCTCCAGAGCCCGTCCCAGCTGCGAAAACCTCCACAAAGCGGCTTTTCCTCGCTGCCAGCAGCAGCCAGTGTGGCTCTGCCCCCAAGCTGCAAGCAGGTTGAAGTACAGCGCTAAGGAAGAAAAGACAAGTATCCCCAAACCCCGAAAAATACCCGCTCGCCTTAATAACAGGAGAAGAGCTCAGGGCATTGGCGGTGAGGCCAGAGGCTGAAAAGACCCCCCCAGCCTGGGGTCCAGGTGCCGGGAAGTGGCTGCAACTGTGGGCTGCTGGTAGCAAGGATGTGCAGCAGCGTCTCTGCTGTGGCGACAGCAGTCCGGGGTCCGATGGCAATCCAGAACCTGACTGATGGCAGTCCAGGACTGAGGGCAGTCCAGAACCTGATGGCATTCCAGAGCCTGATGGAAGTCCAGAATCCAGTCGTATTCCAGAGCCTAATGGCAGTCCAGGATCCGATGCCTGTCTGGGATCCCGCACAGCAGCAAAAGCTCCTCTGCCCAGCTGAGAAGACTGGCTTGAAGCCACAGTGATCTGGCAGCAGATGCAGTGCCCACTGCTGCCTCCCCTTTGCCTTCGAGCAGGAGGGGCTGAGACCCGTCCCTGCCCCATTGGATCTGCAAAATATCATCCCTTTTGTCTTTGTCTTTTCCTAGAACTTAGCAGTTATCAGTTCTGGGAAGACACCTCCTTCCCCCCATATGCATATTTACTCCTACTGTATAAATTAACCTATAAAGTCTGTTTTAAAAGCAACGCTTCTGCGGTGTAAGTTCATCAACCCAAACAGAACATGGAATTGATGTGCACAAAAAGCATTTTTTCATGTAAATCAACTATCTCAAGACACCAAGTTAATGTTTAAGAAAGAGGTTACTGTGCAGGTCATTACACTTCATTATTTTCTGGTTAAACATGAGCCATATGCAACCAGCTGAGGCACATTCGCAGTTTACATGGCAGCATTGTCAGCTTTGCAAAAACGAGGGAAAACATTCCGCTTATTGTGACTCAGCTCTGGAAACTCGTCATGTTGTACCTTTTGTAACATTTCCCACCAGTTTTCCCAAGGATAAAAGTGAAAATCAAAGCCAACGGGTAGGAATTCTTGGAGGCAGGAACCCTGAAGAATTCATACTAAACTGAGTGGATAAATCAGTCCCCTAGTTCCCAAGCCCTCCTATTCCATCTGCCTTTTTGTTAACTCTCAGAGAAAAACCACCCATTATTTTCTTTAGATTTTCATGGAAATACATAAGCCAGTTCTGCAAACACCTAAACACTTTATTTAGGTGAGTAAAGTTACTCATCCACATAGGTATTTGCAGGATGAGCCTTTAAAAAGTACACGTCAACTAAAGATACTGATATGTATAAACTCCCCTGATCAATCTGTGCTTGCCAGTACAGACTAGCACAAACGTGGCATTTCAGCACATCAAATGGCGAAAGATTTGTTAACTTCTGCCTCCTACAGGACTGAGACCGAAAAAGGGGAGTTTAATACCACAGGTAGGGCTCAATCAAAACCCAGGCGTTCTTCAAACGACTTCACCCTCATCACTACACTTTTTGCTCACAAAACACCACACTGAATCTACCACAATTACATTTTCTCCCATGCAGTGGGAGATGCAAAAATCAGAAGAAACTGAAGAGAATCAAGTCCAAGAAAAGGAGCTGAAAAATTAAGTGTTAACACAGAATTATAAAGCAAAATGCAAAATGTAGAGCAAAAGAAATTTACTGTTCTTTTTCTTTTGAAGTTTCCAAACAGATTCATTGAAAAACTTGGGATTAAAACAAAAAAGTGCTCAAAATTGAACGGCTGACAGCCACAAAGCACCCAGCCCGCTGGGGTCTCCTCCAGACCACCGTGTGCTCTCATCTAAGCTGAAACACCAAAAAAGCATGGCAGCAATAATTCTTAACACCCAAATCATATCTGTCAGCAAGAGGATGGTTGTAGGAGTTCCTGAGCTCTGCCCACGAGTGAAACTCCGGCTGCAATGTGTTTTAAGCAAAGCCAAGTCCACGCCATTTCAGCTCAGAAATGCTTTTGCGGTACCTCGTGGCACGGCGCTGGGTCACGACCCAGGTCTTGAGAAGCCTGAGTTCGTAGATGTTGGTTTTCACTGGGGCTTTGTTTACCCTGGACTTAGACATTTTGTATTATTAAGAATCTGTGGCTTATGAGGACATTCTATTTATCTTACCAGTCTTTTTTGATGGAAATGCCTGAATTTTCTTGGAAACAGGGATTTTATTGTGGATTCTTGGTGCCCCTTGGAGAGGCTTATTTTTCTGGACAATAGTTTTCCTTAGTGTCACTACCCTTTTGATTTCCCAATGATCACAGGCTCTCAAGGTCGTGCAAAGTGCATCCTTTTGTTAGAAGGGACCCAGAATTTTGTATAAAAAGGCAGCAAGATCTCTGTTCAGTGACTTAAAGTGTATTTTCTGCCATGTACCCCTGCACTAGATTTTGGCTGTTTTGCTTAAAAAGAAATGTGGAATTTGGAAGAGGTAAGGTTTAAAGGCAGATTACAATAGTATGCTCAGTAGGTATGTGCTTGCTAATTTATCACATATAAAAGTGAAATATAGATTCTGAAGCAGAATTTTCCACGTGAACCTCTGTAATTTAAACATGCAATGTATCAGCGAGATTGTACCTCACACATAATGCAATATAAAGCATTAAAACAATGTGCCTTTCTGGGTTGTTTATTTTGGTTTAGCTTTCCTTTCCTTTCCTTTCCTTTCTGAGCTATTCATTTTGTTAGATCCTATTCTCTCCCATTCCTTCTGAGGAGTGGCTGCATTAAAATACATTGATGGATGCTCTGGCTTGTGGCCTCACTGCATTTTGTGAGGGTGCTTTCCTTGTTTAGAAGGTAAATAGGTCCTCTCTGTACTCACCAGAAAGCACAAAACTCTCTGAAAACTGAAGATTCAGTGAGAATAAGATGAATTCTAGTATAAATTTCCCCCTCTGTGTTTGCAATCTTCTTTCACCCTCTGTAACATCAAGTTTTGATTAAATGTGGAAAAAAAATACATCAACCTTTAAGAGCGCTTCAATCCTTTCACTTTACCTTTCAGTACAAGATTACACAGAATTCCGTAGAAATTTCTTCTCTGCTTTGTAGGAAATATATTAAATCACTTCACAAACTGCTCGAAAACATGCTTAGGAATAAGCAGAGTTTATCTTCAGCATGTTGTAGCTGCATGAGGTGCCTCAGGGCTCGAGAGGTCGCTTGTAGCTTTGGGCTTTTGACGAAGTTGTGAGCACGCCTGTTAGGCTGCGGCTTTTGTTCTGCTGCTCCGGCCAGCTTTTGCATAATCCCTTTTAGCAGTGTGGTATCATCTATTCCCACTACAAAATCTACAACCAAAAAGAGCACATGCATTAGGAACTCCAAAATGGTCGCTTTGGGGACAGTTGAATTGTGATTATATATTTCTGCAGAGGTGACCAACAGTTGCAACATGAAATGTATCAGCACCGTTAGCATCAACCCCACAAATAAATTCTCACCATCAGTTTAATTGCTAAATTACACAATTTAAAATCATCTTCACCCAAATAAATACTTCTCCACTTTCCTGATAAAAATGTAGCTGTTAAAGCTGCACCTTTTTGAACTGCATATTTTTTTTCCCTCTAAAGATGCTTTTGCTTAATTTTCTTTAAAGTCTTTAACAAGAAATGAGAAAAATCAGTTGATTTCCCTTCTGCTTTTTCTGACCTGGCTCCATTAGCCCAGCACTTTAACTCTGCAGATCTCTCAGTAACATTTACACACACACAGAAGTGTGCTAAGTCTGTATTTTACCTGCGCCCAATTTTAGGAGCTGATTTTATTAGAGGAAAATGCAATGACAATGTTTTGCCCAAATGACCAGGCGATTCCCTGATACAAAGCTGATTAAAGTCAATGGAATTTTTTTCCCTTCACTGACTTCAAGTCAAATTAGAAAAAGTCTTTGGAAGAGACTTCAACAAGAACTTGCTTAAATTTTGTGTAACGATTTCTGACACAACAGATTATTTCAGAGACTGAAACACAAGGCTCACACTTCATTTTATGTCTCTTTAGCTTCTATTTGTGATTTCCCCATGTTTTGCAGTCTTCGGTGGCAAAAGGGCTCCGAGCCTCAACAGCAGCTTTGCTTAATTAAGAATTTAGGAGCAGAGCTCTTTTACTTTTTGTCTTTTTACTTGAAACGTTTTCAGGTCAAAATAGAGCTGATTCCCCAATTAAGCTCTTACACGCTGCTACGTTCTAGTAGCGATAAAGTTAGAAAGCAACAAATGCACTAAATCCTGACAAATCAGTTTCTTTTCCCATCTGCTCCTATTTGCTGGGATCACTTTTAAAATCTCCCTCTCCGATTCCCACAGAGCAGCTGAAGGATTTTCATCACCTCGGGGTTACATATTTCATTTGTAAAGAGATGATGAATTCTTAAAAGCTTCTATTTCACATAGGGGTGGTTTTTAGAGAATATGGAATTTTCTTAGAAACCAGGATTCCTTTTTAGTTTAGATCTTTTCTTGAGCTTCGGCTGATGCAAGCCATAGGCACAAACAGCTGCACAAAGGAAACTGGGATTTTATTGTGCATTCCTGGTGCCCCTTGAAGAGCTTATTTTTGTGGACAATAGTTTTCCTTCGTGTCACCACCCTTTTGATTTCCCAGTGGTCACAGGGTTCCAGGGTCGTGAAAAGTGCATCCTTTTGTTCCTCCTCGCCTAAAATTCAGTATAAAAAGGCAGTTAAAGGACCTGAGAGTTGGTTAAGGCATGGAGGGTGGGTTTTGTGGCAGAATTTAAGCTGCATGCTTTGTTTAATTACAGTTAAGATTGCAATTCCAGAGAGAAGATACCATTAAAGACACTTTTAAAATATCCAAAAATTAAATATATATTCATAAAGTCAAAGAATTAATCCCAGAATATCTCCTAAAATGATCGCCAAGCAACAAAATTCCAGCGTTATTTTAATATCTATAATTAGAATTGGTTTAATTAATTTCCTTTTTTTAAACGGGCTTTACGATGTAACTTTGCTGAGAAACACTAACAAATCATTATCTACTGTTCCAGCTAAATCATGGTTCTTCAGGACCCTCTGCTTTTTCCAAAAGACTCATGAAAACTGAATTTGTGGCAGGAAATTTAATAGCCAAAATTTTTCATGAAAGAAATACGCACAGTTCTTAACTCTGTGTGCTTCAGTGTGCAAACACTAAATGCATTGTGTTATTTGCAATAGTCTAGCCGTTGAACATCCCCACAGCATGTTCCCATCATAGTTTCAGGTTTTATGTATGTGTAAGATATAAGACAGCTCTTTAAGATGAGATGCAGCCTCAATTTCAAGGCTTGGGAATTTGTGGCTTGATGGTATCCTGCCCTGGATAAAGTCAGGACTGTAAAAGAAGAAAGCAGATGGTGCTCTCCCCTCTACATGCACATTTAAGGAGCCTAATGCAGTTTGCAAGGTCCCAGCAAGAGCAATAGCAGCTACTGGGTGGAGGAAAGTGGAAGTGCCGGAGCAGGGCTGCGAGGGGTGGGGAGGGGATCAAACACGAGGCTACATCCGGCTGGAAGAGCGGAATGTTGCTTACTGATACTGGAGCCTGGGACAAGACACCTGATTTATTTATTGATGTCCGGGAGCCTGCGGTGCTGTGTCAGACTCTTCCCTGCTTTAGAAGTAAGGCTGAACACAGTCTTTAAAGAGAGAAAGTCAGTTATTTACCAAGGTAAAGTAAACTGTTCCATGAAAAGTGTGCCATCTCTGAGCAACTGTTGCTCAGTTTAGTTTCCTAATGAAAAACAGGATATTATGTGTGAGAAACCTGGAACAGTCTAATTTGGAACAGCTTCATGGCACTTGTCAGTGGACTGCTGCATGTGCCCATCTTCCTTTTTTAGCCAAATTCCCACTAGGCAGGCAGAGAGTTCTCTTTTTCCTTCTTTTTAGGGAAAGACAAGAAAGACAAAATCTAGTCTTTTTGAAAAGACAAAATTTTTAGGAAAGGACAAGATAAAGACATTTTGCTTACAGAAAGAGCGGGATACACTTCCCACTATAAACACTGCAGTTTGTAAAGGAATGGGGTTTGTACTGAAATGTATGCCAAAGTCTTCGAAATCTTCTCTGAAAAACAAGATGAGAGAGTGCTTTAAAGATATTTTATGGATCCCTTACACTCCCTCTCCTTTCAAGGAATTCAGCCCTGCATTCTCAAGGTGGGATGCTGATTTTTCTAAGAGCAAAAGGAGGGCACCTGGAAAGAACAGACTCTGTGAAGTATTCCACGTCCAGAAGACATCTTCATTCTTGCTGTTCAGACATCTTGTTACCTCAGAAATGGAAGATATTTCTAATATACCAGAATTCAGTTAAACCTATTTATCTATCAGCTGCTGGAATGCTCACATATTGGCTATATCTAATGCCAGACTGGTGAGCCACCAATAGATTGGCATCAGAGTCACTGATATTTAATATTAGATCTATTTTCTCTGGTTCAGTGTAAGGATCACGCTCACACAGCAAGAAAATTTTCTGTGCAGTTGATGACTATGACATTTAGCGAGTGAGGATTTAACTTCTAATGAAGCAGCAGCGAGTGGTTGCTACCAAACATCTCATCTTGTTTGACCACAGGGTTTTCCTAAATTTGACTTGCCATGTCCATGTGTCCATCTCAGCCCTGAATCTTCAGTAGCCTGAAGGATTATTCCAAGTAGGATCCCATAAAACAAGCAGAAGCTAATATCAGAATAAAAAGACTAAGAGTGGTTAATTTCTGCTTCATTTGGCACTTCCATTTAATACAAGAAAAGAAGCTGAAAGAATTGAGAGGGAAAGCACATTCCAATGAACGCAGGTTTGGCTTTTGCTCAACACAGACCAATCACTCACTGCTTGATGAAAATTGGAGGGGCTCCATTCTATCACGGTGTTCATTAGATCCTTGGCTACATAAATGCTGAAACACAATAATGTGTCACACAGTTCCATGATATAGAATCACAGAATCACCGGTTGGTTTGGGCTGGAAAGGGACCTTAAAGCTTTTTTAGTCCTCATTAAGATAAATCAAGTAAGTACTGTACAGTGTAGCTCAGAGGTATAATACACATCATGTAAGAAAGCCCATTTTTAGGGCAAGCCCGAGAGGACAAGCTGCCAGTCCCAGAGACTGAGATTGTGACCAGAACTTTTGCAGTTACAGAGCTGGGGGCATCAGCACATGGCTGAAGAACTGCTGCTTCCATGTGGCCAGTAACAAAGGTCATTCTAACTCACACTGGTTGCTTTTAACTCGTATAATTTACCTCTGCAGTAGAAGAGGACAGAGCTGCACAGAGCACCTGGAGCTCTCCAGGAGTAGTGGCTTCACCTCTTTTTGTTAGTATTTAATGTTTAATTTATTACACTTGCTGCACTGGAACTCAGCATACTTTCCCTTTCTCCTTTCCTTTCCTTTCCTTTCCTTTCCTTTCCTTTCCTTTCCTTTCCTTTCCTTTCCTTTCCTTTCCTTTCCTTTCCCCTTTCCTTTCCTTTCCCCTTTCCCTTTCCTTTCCCCTTTCCCTTTCCCTTTCCTTTACTTTCCCCTTTCCTTTCCTTTCCCCTTTCCCTTTCCTTTCCCCTTTCCTTTTCCCTTTCCCTTTCCTTTCCTTTTCCTTTTTCCTCTCCTCTCCTTTTTTCTTTCATTTCTTACCCTTTTTTCTTTCATTTCATTTCCTTTTTCTCCTTTCCTTTCTCCTTTCCTTTCCTTTCCTTTCCTTTCCTTTCCTTTCCTTTCCTTTCCTTTCCTTTCCTTTCCTTTCCTTTCCTTTCCTTTCCTTTCCTTTCCTTCCCTTTCCCTTTCCCTTTCAGAACTTCAAACTGCCTTTGATTTACACCACTCCTCCTCTAATGTCAGTGAGAAGTATATATGGCAACCAGAGGAGAAGACACCCTCTCTGCAGCATTTGTATTTCAGTTCATTCATACTCACACCATACAGGAGCACCTCAACAAATCATAAAGCATCTCTGAACTCATTACTGCCCAATGGTTTGGTTTTGGTTAACTGAATTATTACTGCAGTTACTTAGTTATTACCTTTTCTCATCCACAAATACAAAGTCTTTGCCCAAAATCTTGTTCACATCTAGTTTATGCTACTTATAAAAGTTTAAATTAGATTATCCAGTTCTGGGAACAGACTAACATTTATCATCATCCTTGTCAATATATTTCACCTCATGCAGTTGTTCTTATGGGATTTTAATGTAAATCCAGATAAAATTTGTTACTTTCTAACAGTGGGTAAAGTGGGTTTCATCTCCTCAGTTCAGGGCACTGAAACAAATCTGAACAAATAACCCTGAGTAACTCAGATCATAATGCACTCTGAATTTTTCACTCTGGGAGGTTTTGATTCATGTCTTAATACAGTTTTAAGTGATGAGGATTTTGGGATACCCTTGAAGCTCTTACAGAAGTTTATTTCTCCAGCAAAACTTGTGGGATTCTGTATATTTGTATGCAGATAATGGACTATGACTGGAATTTCAGGAAACATAGAAACATAGAATGGTTTGGGTTTTCTAAAGCACACCAGGGGAAGGAATCCCTGTGAGATGCACAGGCAAGAAGGTGAGGTGTCCGGATCTGTTATGGAGCAACAAAATGTCTGAAGCCATTACAGAGTGTCAAGGAGAGGTGTCTGGAGCTGTTATGCAGGGATGAGGTATCCAGAGCTGCTATGGAGCAAGGAGGTGTCCAGAGCCATTACAGACTGACAAGGCTGGTGTCTGGAGCAGCCGTTACGGAGTGACAAGGTGAGGTGTTCAGAGCTGCTATGGAGGGACAAGGCAAAAATGCAATGTGTCCTCAGTCATTATGGAGCAACAAGGTGAGGTATCCAGAGCTGCTATGGAGTGACAAGGTGAGGTGTCCGGAGCTGCTAGGGACCTTCTCTGGCTAAGGCAGTGGCTTGCTGCAGGTTTCTGTGCACGGTCTCTGCAGGCACGTGAGCTGATGGGTGCTCCCACTGCCAAGCCACTCTCCTTGCGGGGACACCTCAGGACAGCCCTGGGTGCAGATCGCTTTGGGGCTAATTCACATAACCCCCCCAAGTTTATCCACGAAGGAGTCACGGGCTTCACTTGGATTTCCCTCCCTCTTGCACTCTGTGAAGAGCTGAGTGGTTTAGAATCGAGCAGGGCACTCTGAGCCTCAGCAATCCATATTTACATGAGGGCAAAGAAGGGTGGGAGGCATTTAAAAATCACTCGGTTCAAAGGTAGTGGCTGGTCTTTGCCTGTCTGTCAGATCTCAGAGGAGTGAGTGGATTTTCATGGAGGAATTTCATGGAAATTAAATCTCTACTGGAGTGATCCATTCAACTACTAAAGCTTCAGCCCAGTTTTGTGTCCTGGATGAATGCCCTGCTGAATAGCTTGGTAGGGATGCAAAAAGCCACCTTAAAGTAGGGAATTTTTTCTGCTAAATTGACTTCAAAGTAGTAATTAAACAATAGCTAGCTTAAAAAAAAATAAATCAAGTTATAAGAAGCTATAGGAGCAAACTACAGAGGCTGTATTTTGGGAGGGGACAGGGGGACGGGATGCTCAAACTGGCAAAGCAACTGGGAAGATGCAGACTGCAAGAACCAAAATGGGTGCAAGGAAGTAAAATGATTTGCACAGATTCAATCTACAGTTGAGTCTGGAGCTGGGTAAGGGGAGGCAGGAGCCAGGCTGCTGAATTGTGTGGGGTATTTTAAGCAGAAGGATCCCATTCAGAGGCTGAAGCAGCTTTCTTCGGCCTTTGTCCTGTCCTGTGCTTGAGGTTTGTCTTCTCCACAAGGCTCTGCACAGAGCTGAGGTCTGCAGAACTCACATTCAGCTCTTTTGTGGCCAAATGCTTCCTTGCTGTCAGTCTTCTCCCTCTGCCTCCCAAGCCCACAGTCACCACTGCACTCTCTCTGTTGATGACTTAGAAGCATGTTTGTCTTGAAGCTAATGAAACCAAAACGACACCAAAGGAAAGCTAACCTCCCCTGCAGTACAACTCTCTCACTAGCCTTCACTTGCACCTTCTCTCACCATGTCTGTTCTGCAACGAGAAACCTGGAAGTTTACAACCTAATTTCATTTCAAACCTCTTCAGAGAGGGTGGTTTGCAGCTTCCCTGGGCTGTTTAAGTGCTTTTGTGGCATTAGTCCCACCTAATTTGCTGTGTAGAGGATGTCACCAAATTAGCCTATGAAAGAATCATAGAATCAGAATCCACTAGGTTAGAAAAGACCTTTAAGATCATCAGAAGATCATCTTAAAAGAGAGAGAAACATAAATTTGGCACTATCACAGCTGCTGGATTTTTACAGTGTTTAAGGTAAGGCTTTACTATTTGAAAGTGAAATGTCCAACACAGCACCTAATTGGATTAACACATTTTCTTCCTACTCCCAAGGCATTTATGAGAATTCCTGCTCAGGTTCAGTCCCTGGAAGCACTGCAGCGTACACTGCCAGAGAAGCTGATCCATGGGTTGTTAAAAGTACTGTCCGTCTCTGACTTGTGTCGAGTGAACCCATGTTAAATAGTACTCAGGATAATGACTTTATAGTCTTATTAAAGCTAACTGCAGTCCTTAGGCTAGACTATAAGCTTAAATATTCCCAGTGTCCCAAATGTTGTACTGTTAGTGTGGTACTTACTGCTAGAAGAAAGCTCATAAAACACCATTTGCAATTGTTCCATTGCTTTTCAAATATACTTCACAGTTTATTTGCACTGAGAATTGCTTTTCATTTCTTAAACTTGAATTTAATAGGTTGCTGATAACCACAGTGTAGTGTTATGAGAGGATGAGCTAAAAACCAGCAAGAACTGTTGGATGCCAACTGTAAAATGCCGGTGGGTTTTAGCCCACACACAGATCCTCTTACTGTCAGAAGCCTTTGCTACACCTCTGTCAGAGGGCTGGTTCCCTGTCAGGCAGCAGTTCATGTGATAACTAAATTTTGTCCTCTACGAGAGTATGAAGGCAATACATGTTACTGTTCAACAACTCCTCATAAGTACTGAAAATGGGAACAAGATTCAAATGCTTCAGTGCTGCTGGGCAGGTATTCAATGGCAAACCACAAAGACTGTGCAGCAGTGCTAACGTAATTCCTGGAAAGTCCACAATTTCATAGATGTTGCAATCAAACACAAAGGCAGAGCATGTGTTTTGCTGCAGCTTTTCTGCCTCACTACTCCACACCAAACAGACAACACTGCTGGAGTATAAATAACCAAAAGCTTCAAAGGGTGATTTCTATCAGCTCAGCTTGAAGGCAGCAGCGTGTAGGACAGGAGCTGGCCACAAGTCACTCATGGCCAGTGGCTATGTAAGGGACAGGGTGTGCTGATCACTGATTTCTCTGAATAATGGAGAATCTCCATGCTTCTTCCCGTGGAGAGCTCAGGGCTCTGGGGAAGCTCCCTTGTGTGCCAGATGGGTTTCCAGCATCAAACTGTTCTGGATTGTAAAACTGCATAGGGCTGCATGGCCAGTGAAGGGGAGTCCTCTCTGTGACCACATTTGTCACTCCCTGGCTCCAGCAGTAGTGCTGGCCTGAAACCAGTCAGATCAGGCTGCTGAAAACTAAAACCTTCCCATCACCATCACCCTCCCAGTTAATGAAGGTACAGATGATCACACAACTCCTCCTCTGGGAAGCAGAAGGATCTAAATTCTCTGTGCGAAAGGACATAAATTACACATACGCGAGAGCCAAGTCCCAGATCATGCCCACAGAACATCCACCTCTTTTGAGAGAGCTTGACCAAAACTGTGGCCTGTTCTCTGAATACTTTAATGCTGAATGTCATTCTAACACTCACGTTTTACATAAATTCTGTGGGTTTACTTGCCTAGTGCAGGTGTTCCCAGAGGTCAGGCTTCAAAGCCATTGCCAGGGCTCACAAGTGAGCATTTTCAGTTACATTTGACAGTGATTTCTGACATATGAAAAGGTGAACAGTGTTTGTTCATCCAGAAAGTTTAAGAATCATAGAAAGGTTTGGGTTGGAAAGGACATTAAGACCACCTAGTCCCAATCCCCCTGCCATGGGTAGGGGAACTGCTGGTCTAAGATACCTTTGTTGTCTGACTGTAAAGCATATATTCTGGATAGTTCTAGCACTTCAAAACCCATGAGGGTGTATTAAATCCACAGCAGTGAAATCCTTTTTGAGATGGAAAGCTCAGGTGTACAACCTGAGACTTGTTTGTTTATTTTTAAGGAAGTGCTGATGGTTTTAATAACATACTGAATTCAGATGAGGTGACCTCTTCCATAAGCCACAGACGGCTTAAAACAGTAGCTCCAAGAACCATTCAGTGCCTTCAACTGGTTTAATTCAGAAACTTAAAGATGGTTATTGTAATGACAATACCATCAGCTATTTCTGTGTTCGTATGTTGTTAGCAGAAAAAAAGTCATGTTAAAATACTAGAACCCAAATGGTTCTAATGTCCTTCACTGATCTTTAAATGTATCTTACCTCTAGCCTCAACAGTTTGCATGTTCCAGTTACTGACTGTAACCACAAACATCTGTTGTGTATCTAAAACAAGAGTGAAGTCTAAATTGAATACATCATAAATCAGAACAAAGAGGATTTGTATTAATCCTTTTCACATTTGTCTGAAATTGTGCCATTACTTTTAGAAATAAAATCATACAAAATCCAACACTCTTGATGTTAGCAGTGAAGTCCACCTGGATAAACCAGGGCAGCATTCATGCTTAACACAGTGCTCTCCATTTCATAGAGAAAAATCTGAATGAGGAGTTATTATTTCATGCCTCATACATGGTGTAAAACTCTTACTTCTTGTTGGCATTTTATAGAATCATAGACTCATAGAATGGTTTGGGATGGAAAGGACCTTAAAGCTCATTCAGTTCCAACCCCCTGCCATGGGCAGAGATACCTTCCACTGGAGCAGGTTGCTCCAAGCCCCGTCCAACCTGGCCTTGAACACTGCCAGGCATGGGGCAGCCACAACTTCTTTGAGCAGCCTGTTCATACCTACTTGTATAACATTGTGGCTAGAGGCCTCAGAACACATCAGAGTGCTATTACACTAGCTGCTGTGTAAGCCTGTAGAAAGAAACAGCTCTTGCTCATAAGCAGTGAGCTGAAGTAGCATCCTTCTTGAAGTGACTTGGAGCATGAGATCCTAGTAACGGATACAACACGTATCATGTGAAACCTCAACATACATAATCATTTTCTAGTTGCCACAGAAAGACAAACCTGGACTTAGGTCAGCGCAAAGCACTTGTTCATGTATTAACAAAGCATTCACTGTTTTGTCTGCAAATAACAGGAGAGGGATATGAACACAGCACATATAAAATCCATACACTGAGGTGATGGAACACTAAACTGGTGTCCTCATGGACATAGCCCCCTGCAGCACCCCACAGAGCCAACGCACTCCTGTGCTAGAGCTTCTATTTCAATTCAGTTGCTATGAATGAAGGAATGAACCTCTGTATTTTGTAAGCCTGGAAGATGAAAGAGCTAATTCAGGCATGTGAATGCTGTACCTTACATGTATCTTTATGCTAAAACAATATGCGGTAAAATAATTGAGGTTTCAGTTACCACTGGCAACATTTGTTCTTCTGAAGCAGATTTATGGGGGCTTGTTTTGTTCCACTTTAGGTTTAAAGCCTGGATATTTCATACCTGTTTTAAGAATGAAAGAATATAAGATTAACAGCCTTGTACAAACCCAAGCAAATGCAATCAAGTATCCAATACATATTAGCTGAGAATTATTCCAGACCTTAAAATTGAGCTTCTGTTGTACAATAAAAGCAGAGAAGAGACTTGTTTGCCTGTGGTGTTCTAGAGAAGAGCTCAAAGCTTGTTGGACGCAAGATCCCCAGGCACAAGCATTTGATGTCCGTATTTGACTACCAACAAGGACAACATTACACATTATCATTTGAATGCCCATTAAGCAAATTAGAAGAAGGTTTTTTTTTTCTCCTGTTAAGCTAAAACTGGGGGTAACCTGCAGTATAGCTGAGCAGTTCAGGATTCTCCTTCCCTGGGACACTTTCCACTCAGCATCAGTCTTCCTGTTTTATCTCGGTTTCTCTCCTCAATCCTTGCAATCAGCTTTTTGGGGATATTCTTAAAGCAAAGCTGGCACCACTTGTCTTGAAATCTTAACCGGTAAACACATTGCCTTTGTTCACAGGGTTGAAAGCACTGTCCAAATCGAACACGAGGGTAGTTTGAGCAAGTAGCCAGGGTTGAGCTGTCTGTGCTTGGAAGCTGCCAGCACTGAAGTGATGGTGTGGGGCTCAACCTTGGTTTATTTCAGTTACATCTTGTACCTAAAACCAGACTGCAGAAAGAGTAAGATTTGACTGACTGCACTTGTTTAGATTGTACTTAAACCATGTAGCAGAAACAACAGCTAGATGTTTTTTAGAGGATTCAACTTATTTCTAACATGGCTTTACTAAAATAGCTCCCCCCTGTATATTCTAACACACTTTATACATAAATGTTTGGGGTTTGTTTTAATCAAGCACTGCTTTGTGGGAAATAAATGAGGTTTTATTACCCACCATTGTAACAAAATACCCCTAAACTTAGCTGCACACACTGAAGTCACTGTAAAATGTACTCCACTACAGCTGGGCTATAGAAAATCAACAGAACTGATCATGTCTTTGCTGAAACATGAATGGTTTCTATAGAAGTCTGAGGTCTATAAAGCAACTGGGTTAATGCTGTATCTGTGAACAAACGACAAGCTCTAGTTTGTAATTTTAGTCTTTTTAGAGTCTTGATTATGACATTTCTTCTTCTCTTGAACTGGAAGAAAGCAAATAATTGAGTTTGTGGGTGATGAGCTGCCAACCATAGGGCACTGAGAAGTTGTGTACATGGTGGTTAATGCCTGCTGGGCTCCCAGCCAAGATGGTCAAAATACTCTAGCATAAAGTTAGGATCTCCTTGTGTTGCCATTTGCCCACTGCTATCAACTGGCTGCCCATAACCTGGCATTAGGAATTAAAAAGAAAGCTATGATGCTCCTGAATGTGACCGTGATTCACAGGATCTCCGGCTGTAAAACACCACAAGGATAAAACATGAAGTCAGCTGAATATGGTGTTCCTAAAACTCATTATTTTGCCTTGCTGAGCCTTTCAGTGAAACTAAGTAGGTAAGAATTCAGTATTCATGTGAGGTATAGCATCCCCAGGGTGCTCTTAAATGCTGTGGGGTAAGAGAATAAAGCAACTGGCTATGTTAAGTTCCTTTGGAAAGAAGAGAAAATACACTTGCGTTTGGAAAATCAGACATAACGGAGGAATAAACATCTCCATCTGGTAATGCATACAAAACATTGTCTGAGCCTCCATCCTGTACACACACCTTTGGCTCACAGCCTCTCATGGAATCAGTAGGGTCCACCACAGGAAGCTTGTTCTGCCCAGTCCTGCAGGTGCCAGGGTACACACTGCACAGCTTCTATTTCAAATGAAACCACAATCACAATGACCTTTAGTGATGTATTTTCAAACCGTCCCCTCTAAAGCTCCTTCTGCAAAGGACGACAAAAACCTTGCCAGGGGAAACAAAACCAATTGTCACGGGAAGGAAACAAAATCACTGGGAAAGTTTTTTCATTCAAAAACCAAAGCAACTGTCTTTGTGGCTTCCTCCCCCCAACAGCTGATACTCACTAAACATTCACGGCAAAGGAAAAACCAAGGAACACCAAAGAGAAATGTTTTCCTCAACACACAAGGTGTTTTCTGGAACTAAACGAAGAGACAATTCTTTGCTCATAAAGTGCAACATAAAAGGAATAAAATAACGAGATGGCAGAATAATTTCTGTAGGGATAGAACTGCAAATGAACTATAGATTATGATGTAAAATGGCAGCACCTTGAATACTTAAATGTATATCAGTATTTGAGTTTCTCACTATAGTATAATGCAGATTCAGTCAACACACTCAATAGGAAGACAACTTCCTGAAGAAAAAGTGTTATTTTTGTTATTTGCTTTGTTTCAGAAAAATAAGCCATGTCCTGGAATGTGATCCTTGCTTCCCATTTCTCTATTTCATTATTATGGCAATTATAGCTCATGGCTGTTTCCCAAACCAAAATGATGTTTTAAAAGGTTTTAGCCATGGGGAAAGTGCTTTATCAGTTTGATTTATTCTTGCACCAGTATGATACTGAGCTGCAACTTGTCTTCTACCACTGAGCACAACATCAGTGCTTTAAAATCATCACTATTCCACGGATACAACAGATCCTATCAGAGAAAACAGTTTTGCTGATACAACCTGCTACAATACAGTTTTTCTCAACACAGAACAGTTACTCCCGTCATAAATTGTGCTCCCCTGTGCTGTTGAAGCACACTGTGTGCGCTCTGTGTATCTGTTAAGCTGCAGTAAACAGTTAGAGCTCAGCCCACTTCATTATTGTTGCCATTTTTCTCACCTTGTACCTGTTCAAGGTGACAACCCACTTTCTGTAAGCACTTTGAATTACTTTGCTGTGGTGGCAAAAATAACCTGGGAGTTCCTCTGACTGTGAATGGAAAGCTGTACCCACAAAACCTGCAATCCATCTTTCCCAAGGAAGGAGCAAGATCCTTGTGGACATGAACTGCAGAAATCAGTATCAAAGTGATACCTCTGTATCTCTGCCATAAGGTATTAGTAAAAGGTAGGAACAAAGCGTAAGATCTCAGTCAACGTGGACACCACCAGCACAGCGACAATCTGCCATGCAATAACTGTGCTTTTCAGCTGAGGCTTCGCCAGTACAGGGCATTCAGCAGGGATTTGTACTGATCACTGCTGGCTCCAACAGTTTCTTGCCCTTAGCACCTCTTCACCTTAGTTTCTTGCCATGCTTGCCTCTCTTAACCCCTGTTGTCTTGCCCAGTTCATTTCTCTTCAGCAACTGCCATTCCCCCACCCCTTCTCACACAAAAGTACCTGGGAAGCTGCTCGGCTGGGGCCGTCTTCTGTGGCTTATTCCCCTTTCCCTCCTCTCCGGTCTGTAACCTCTCTGGCTGAGACCTTGCTCTGCTGCCTCAGCACAACCGGTGATTATTTTGGTTGCCTTTGAGTCCTGCCTTTACAGCTGTGACCCGGAAGCTGCGGTAAAGCCCTGACTTCTACTCAGTGTGAGCCCAAGAACAGGGTGGGCTCCCATTTGGGCAGCCAAGGGAACCATGACCGCTCTAGCTTTAGCAACATCATAGAATGATTTGGGTCAGAAGGAGCCTTAAAGCTCCTCCAGCTCCAACCCCTGCCACGGGCAGGGACCCCTTCCACTAGAGCAGCTTGCTCCAAGCCCCTGTGTCCAACCTGCCCTTGAACACTGCCAGGGATGGGGCAGCCACAGCTTCTCTGGGCACCCTGTGCCAGCGCCTCAGCACCCTCACAGGGAAGAGTTTCTGCCTAAAAGCTCATCTCAGTCTCCACTCTGGCAGGTTAAAGCCAATCCCCTTGCCCAAAACCCCTCTCCAGCTTTCGTCCCGTAAGATTTCTTTCTCCTGAGACAGCTTTACACTACTCCACCCCGCACTGTAAAGCACAGCCAGCCCTAGCCCCCTCCCCTCGGCCACATCCCCACAGTAACGCAGGGCGCTGCGCTACACCACGCTTTGGGGCTTGGGCCAGCTTCACCAATGTGCCGCCACACCGCTCCTCGCTATCACCAGCCCTACACCACCAAGTCAGAGGCGAGCAATCCCCCGTGGTACCACACCGGGTGCTGGACGTGCGCTTTGAGCCCCACTTATATACCAACCCCAGAGCCGCGCCCGGAGCTCTGAGGGGCCGCCCCCCCCTCACCGCGGTGCTGCCCTGAAGCCCTCCACGCATGCGCACATCCCCCGCCGCACGCCTGCGCGGTTCCCCCGCCAACGGCTGCGGGTGAGCAGTGCGCATGCGCAGCTCTCCCCCTCTCCCCTCCCGCCGTTCCCGCGTGCTCCCGCCAATCGGGCGCCGCCCCGCAGCGTCGCGCCGTCGCGGCCCGAGCGCGCCGTGCGTGCGTGCGTGCGTCCGTCCGCTTATGCGTGCGTGCGTGCGTGCGTTTGCGTGCGTGCGCGTGCGTGCGTGCTTGCGCTCGGCGGCGGCGGCGGCGGCGGCGGCGGCGCAGCGTAGCGTCCCCTGCCCCGAATGAAAGGGACGGTCCCGGCGAGCTGAGCGGCCGTGAGCGACCGGTGGTGACGGGCTGCGGGGTGCGCCAGCGCTGCGCCTCTCCCCGGCGACACACCCGCCACACGGGTGAGTGACTGACTGAGTGACCGCCCGGGTGCCCAACCGCCTCGCTGCCCGCCCAACTGCCGCTTTGCCGCCCGCTCGGGGCAGGCATGGAGACCCCGGCCCGCCCGTCCGCAGCCCCCGCGACCCGCGGAGCCCGCCCTGCCCCTCCGCCGCCTCGCCGCCGGTGCTTGGGCCTCAGCGAGCTGCACACCCCCGGGCAGGACCCGGCACCCAGCGCTGCCTGTTCAGGGGGCGACCCCCGGTGCCGTTACCCGCCCCCCGCCCCCTCCCCGAGCCGACGGCAGCCGCTCGCTCCGCCCGCCTCGGCCCGCTCCCTCCTTCCCTGGAGGATCCGCCCCCCCTTGTCTCCGAGTCCCGTTTCCCCCAAAATTTGGTGATCGCCCTTCCCGGGAGCTCCGCGTCCCACCGAGCCCCCCTCGGCAGCCCCTCCGGCGGGGAGGGGGGGGGTCAGGCCTCGCCGGTGCTTGTGGCCAGGCCTTTGAAAGGGGAATCGCAGCGATCCCTCGCCGAAGGGCGCCGCGCCGAGCCCCATCGTACCCCCGGGGAGGCGAGCGGCAGAGGTGCCGTTATCGACCCATCTCTTGCTTCCCGGGAAGCGTGGAAACTTTGCTGTGCCCTGCCCGATTCGCGTCGCTGCGGGCTCTGTGTAGTCTTTAGTTAACCTGTTCTGCTCTTATTGTTCAGACTTCCCAGCGTTGGGCCTTCCCCTTGCACCCACCTTTACCCCCTTTGGTTTGGGGCTTTTTTTTTCCTTTAAGGAAGTTACTTGGAGAAGTTCTTATCCCGCTTTTTCTAGTGGCTGTAGGATGCTGTGTGAGCTTAACTCTTGAGTAGAGATTTCCGTGGGACTTGTGACTTTGGGCGCTCAACTGCAGACCCCTCCTTCTCCACAGCTTCACCCCCCTTCTCCAAAATAATACCCCCAGTTATGGGTGATTGACTCCAGAAACTAGAAAGCGCCTAAAAGTTTCTTGAGCATAGAATCTGGTAGTGAGCATCTTGGGAAAGATGAACACAAATGTTTCCCGAGAGTCCAAACCTCTTCGGTGTTGGTATTTTACACCACTTGTGTACTTCTCTTGTAGGTTTTCTTTAAGTAAAAGTTGTGATTTTAAAGTACTATGAATCTAGTATCACACAGCAAACCCAGCTTCCCATGGGAAAGCATAGTGTGGGGGTTACTGTCCTTTGTTAGGACTACAAGTGGGGCTTTAACTCCTAGAAACAGGTGGAAGCTCCTGAAGCGTATTTAGGCAATAAATAGAAATCAGAATGCAGGTTACTTTCTGTTCGTGGATGCTGACCGATGACTCGGGCACCGAGGGCATCCTCCTTTGCGCTGCTCTTTTATGTTCCAAAATCTATCATCTAGAACTCAGTAAACAGGATGCAAACTGTAGGAGTTTGTCAAACACTTTGTTTTAAAGGTAAAAAAGAAAGGTGCTGTTGGGGGAAGCACTGTGAAGAATACCTTAGTAGACATTAAGAAATGTGAATGTAAATGAACCCCAGTTTTGGAGGGAAGAATCACTGAATGAGTTTTTCCTTTTGTGACTTGAGGGTAGGTGAAACTTTCCCTTGTTTTTTGAGACCAAGCCTATGGAAAACTTATCTGTATGTAATCATCTGTGGTTTGTGGTACACGTGTTCAGTTCTGGTCAGGATCTCCCAGTCAGAGGTTCCGTAGCACATCGCTTTCTGTGATCAAACCCGTGAGACTTTGACAAATGAGATTCTGGCAACGGGATGTTTAAATGCTATTTTGTAAGTCTTTTATTCACTTGTTAGCTTTTAAAACATGGAAAAACAGAACTAGTGAGCTGTTTGGAAGGTGCGTTATTTTTCTTGTTCCGAGGAAATGCAGCTGAATACTTGGCAAACTGGATTGGTTGCTTTGGGGTGATTTAACTCGAGAGATGAAAACTGAATTTGGAGTGTTTGTGTTCAGAACAACTCTGGATCTGTAGCAGAGCTGCGTGACTTGGTTCTTGTTGTCAAAAAAAATGAGTATTTTTAAATGGACAGGGGAAGAAGTAGGTTTTGGCACAAGAAAAGTGGTCCCACGGGAGTGTTTTCGCACGTTTATGGGCAAACACACGTAGTTTAGGGAGAGGTTTACAACTGAAAAGTGTATGAAATATTCCTCATGCTCATTTATTTTCCTGCAGTTATTAGAAATGCAGGAAAATAAATAGCGTTAATATCCAGTGATAATACCCAGTGATAGAGAAAACACTGATGCAAAGAGTGCAGGATTGGAAAAGAAGACCTTTAGATATCCTTGTAAAACGCTTCTGGAGTAATTTAATGTGATGGGGAAAAGAATGTGGGTCCCCTTTCTGGTGTACCCTGATGCTTTTGGTCTGTTTGTGTGACAAATAATTAAATTATTTATAATTGAAGAAGTATTCCAAACCATAGGATTGAGGGGTTTATTTTGATTTTTTAATACCAACATCAGTGCACCATGAGGTAAATATTGGCATTAGTTTTAACCTCACTGTAAGCCTTAAAAAATCTAATGATGCCAGAGTGCTTGAAGAAGTTGGGTTCTGTCAGACTGTTAGTGCATGGGAAGGCACAGAGCTGAGGGCAGCTGACTGCAGCCAGCTGTGAGGAGGTTCTTTAGCATCTTCGTGCTTGGAAAGTTACTATTCTTTAAATGAATGATGATGAGAGTCACTTAATACATTTTTATGTGTTCTATAAATTGCTTGCATTTCCTAAAATATGATTTTGCTTATTAAATGGAAGGAGAGCTGGGTTTTATAGCCGGAATTCTTATTCCTGTAAGGCAGTAGAACGTGTGTGTGTGTTCAAGTAAACTCCTGATCTTCCTTTTAAGAACTACTATCACTGCTGTCAATATATTGATAATACAGTCTGAATATAAAATGAAACAGACCCAAATGATTGTGTGTATCAAATTCTTAATACCAAAGCAGAGCTTCTTGCATTTTAACTTAATTTAATGTATTTCTAACCCATCACTATGGGATTTATGTTAAGCCTTTTAATGTGACCTGAAAACAAAAAATCTTTGTGATACTATTTTGCCCATGTCTTTTGTAGGGTATTCTTTTTTTCCTGCTCCTAAATGTTATTTTTGTTTGAGTTTTAAGAATTATGTTTGATAATTTTAATTATTGTTTTTTAACTAAAAATCTGTATAAGTTTCCTTCAGGAATCATTCCTTCTTTCTACGCAGAAGGGATTACAGAATGGTCTTGTTTTGTTTTTCCTCCAGAAGAATACAGTATAGTAATTCTTTTGTGTTTGACACTTAAGGACTCTCTATGGGCACTGCAGAAGGGTGTGACCAGTT